TTAGTTACATTCTATTACACTGAAGTGTAAGGACAATCACTCTAAGCCTAGTCAACACAGATGACACTAATCGTATAATATTTCAGTTCTGAGACATTTTTCGCCTGTTAACTATATCTCATGCACAAATCTTAACTTAGTCATAAGATACCCAGATTCTTTCGTAAAGTGTAACTATGGATGAGGTAGATAAAAATGATTCACAATATCTTCCGTTTCATAACATTTTTACATGGAGCTCCTGTGAAGATGTACGTAAGATATCGAGTGGAATATTTCAAAATTTTATATTCCTTATAGTCTGTAACACAGCTGAGATATTCTCCATAGAGAACAATAATGCTATTCTCCCCAACTCTTATACATTAAGAATCATAAAGGGCTTGGCATTCCTTTTGTGTCAAAGTGTTTTTGACTTAGAAAAAAAACGTCAGTATTTCAGTTTAAGAATTTGTGAGGATCGATTTGTTTTAATGTAGCATTCATCAAGAACCAATAAAAGCTGAGAATCCAAAAGCAAAGAACAGCAGTTTTTCATAGCGTGTAACTTCTAAGAAGTGTACACCCATAAATATGAAGGGAATGGAAATCTGGATAGTTTAAGTATAAAGTTATCACTAGAAAGCCTGAAAGGAAGCAATCATCATCATCATTTGTCCCTTGGATTCCTACTACAACATAGGGCTTCAGTAGCAAGTCTCCATTCCACTCTCTTCTCTGCAATCCTTTCAAAGTGGTTCCATGACAGCCCACAAACTCTCATTTCTTCCTCACACCATCTCCTCCATATCACCGTCACCTAGGACACCCAACTCACCGTTTCCCCTTTGGATTCCACTCAACGGCCTGACCTGGTGCGTGATGTCCTTGAATTGTCTTCTCAATGTATGCTCAATCCATCTCCACTTCCTTCCAGTGCATATTTGTTGGGTAATAGACTCTTGGTTGGTTCGTTGCCAGCCAGCCAGCCAGCCAGTCAGAGTTCCTTGTTGCTTATTCTTCATCGCCATCTGATCTCATCATCAGTAACGAGCCAGCGTAGGCAATTGTTGATTAACATCTGTAGTTTGTTGGAAATCCCCTTCGTAACACGCCAAGTCTCTCATCCATATAGAAGCACTGACTTGACTGAATTGGTGTTGAAAATCTGGATGTTGTTCACACTGTATGCTGAGTGCACAAGATCTCCACACTGGTTTCAGGTTAATGAACATGTGTCTTGCTGTCTTTCCGATCCTGGCTGACTTTGACGTCCTCGTCTGTGCCGCCTGTAGTTGAGACGATGCTACGTAGGTAGGTAGATAGGTAAAAGAGACAACGTCGTTTAAGTTTCACCCGTTGATGGTGATTTAAGTGTGTTGTTGTTGTCGGCTGGGTATCCTCATCACCTCCGTTTTCTTTGCGTTCACTTGAACGTAGCAGTTATACTAGGCTATTCAATTTAGTTAGTACAAAAAGGCTCTAAGGGGGAAACTTAACAAAGCTCTGAAAGGAAATTTATTCCACTTGGCGAAGTGCATGATAAAGGTTATTCAACAATGATTTATGAAATGAATTTCTTACCTTTGCATGGCATAACTAACTCATCGTAATTATCATAAAGTTACTAATTACAGTAGGAGATTGTTAAATAAATGAACTCATTAAATAAGGCTTTGTTTTGTAACTCATTTCTAAATAATAATGACAAGATTGTAACTAATTTGTCATTGCTACAACATTCATTTGTTTTATGAGAACTATTTAATCTCATGAAAACAAAGGGATAGAATACAGTAAGTTACACTACATCAATGAAGGTAGCCCAGAATTTCAATCGATTTGAATCAATCCAGAACCGCCAAACATTCCACAGTGTGTTTAGCTGAAAGTCTTTAGGGTTGATCTTTCTGAGTTCAAGCTTTACTATACACACACCTTATAATTTCATGTTACTATGCAGGGTAGAATTGCTTGATTCCTGCTAGCAGATGGGTACATGGTTTCAAACCTCGACTGGAACTATATCACTCACTGGGTTGCAGGTTCATTCAGCTGACGTGTCTCTAAATAGGACGAAACATGCGTCTTAGATTCCACTACAAGTCATCAAGGTGATTGAAACCCTGTACACAGTGTTTAACTGATGAAAAAGTTGAAGTACACCGGTACTGTGGATCAACTGATTTTTATTTATAGAAGGGAAATTTTCAGAATGAAGTGAATCCACTTGTTCAGTGGCTTGTATAAACTGAAATGGAAAGTTAATGAATCCATGATAAATACAAACAAAACAGATGTCCTCAATGTATTATGATATGAAATACCGTTCGAAAACTTTATAGACATGTCCAGATCTACAGGCAAAAAACTAACAAGCTGACAGAAGAGGCAAGGCAGTGAAGACGGGTGTTCAAATGAACGTAGAGAAGATGGAAGTGATGATCATACCCAACCAACGCACACCAACAACAACAACAAGCTCCAATCAATATCAATGGGTGAAACTTAAACGACGTTGTCTCTTTTACCTATCTACCTACCTAGGTAGCATCGTCTCAACTACAGGCGGCACAGACGAGGACGTCAAAGTCAGCCAGGATCGGAAAGACAGCAAGACAGGCGTTCATTAGCCTGAAACCAGTGTGGAGATCTTGTGCACTCAGCATACAGTGTGAACAACATCCGGATTTTCAACACCAATTCAGTCAAGTCAGTGCTTCTATATGGATGAGAGACTTGGCGTGTTACGAAGGGGATTTCCAACAAACTACAGATGTTAATCAACAATTGCCTATGCTGGCTCGTTACTGATGATGAGATCAGATGGCGATGAAGAATAAGCAACAAGGAACTCTGACTGGCTGGCTGGCTGGCTGGCTGGCTGGTTGGCAACGAACCAACCGAGAATCTATTACCTAGCAAATATGCACTGGAAGGAAGTGGAGATGGATTGAGCATACATTGAGAAGACAATTCAAGGACATCAAGGTCATCAGTACGTAAATCACTCCGCCGACCAAAGTTGATACAACCAGGTCGTATCATAATCCTTCACGTTATAGGTATGGCTCATTATATTCTGCACAAAAGTACATAAAGATGCTTAACAGATTTCGCTTTTGAATTTTGATATCTCACAGAAATATGGTCTGAAAAGTTGTAACCAGTAGAATAAAAGTAAAGACTAGTATCCATTCAAAGCCATATGCTTCAAAGTAATGTTTCATCATTCAAAGTCCTATTCTGAAAATACTTAAATCAGTCCAAGTTCACTAGTGTTTGATTACACTTATTCTATTCTATTCTATTTTTTTGTTTTCATTACCAAGCTCACCACCTTTCGATAAATACCTTCACTCCTTTTAAACATATATCAAGCCTATGTTAATCATTGTGTTAAAGAGTACTTAACTGGGACGTTTTAAAGAAATTCCGTGTACCAAATTTATTGGAAACATTTATTACCTTTCAAGCTCCATAAGGTTGTAATCATCTGAAAAGAACTTCTAAAATCAATGAACTTATATTATCGTTGACCCATTATTTTTATTGTTATCATTATTATTATTTGTCACTTGGGTTTCTTATAAAACATAGGGCTTCAGTAGCACATCTCCAATGCGCTTTGTTTTCTGAAATCTTTTCAACCTGGTTCCATGACAACCCAGAAGCTCTCGTTTCTTCTTCACACCATCTCCTCCATGTCACCGTCACCTCAGACGCCCAACTCGTCGCTTCCCATCTGGGTTCCACTCAAGTGCCTGGCCTGACGCGTGATGTCCCCAGTTAGCCTTCTCAGTGTATGCTTAATCAATCTCCACTTTCCTTTGCATATTTGTTTAGCGATAGGTTTTTGGTTGGTTCGTTCCTAGAGTTCCTTACTGCTTATTCTTTCTGGCTATTCGTTGACCCATCGTTACTATAATATCAGTTGAAAACTGTCAAGTTATTAAATAATTTACAACTGAAGCAGAGAAAGATAAGATCTACAATACCACTCACAGCTTAGCGTTATGGTTTATGTATCAGTGAAATACTTCATTATTTTGATCAGTAATTTGATATCTTCATCTATGGGATCTGATGTACAGATATAATAGATCCTGTAAAACTGTCATTTAAATATAACCTCATATGTACTGGATTTGGCAAAATCTGTGGAAATTCAAATACCTTTTTGTTCATGTAGGCTTTCTGTAAACTGACCGTCTATGAATAGCAGATGATTATTATTCTCCTTCTCACAAATTAGGCTGATGTGAGTTTATACGGTGTTAAGTCTTTTTAGTAAACAAATCATATTTTGATACCTCTCACAAATCACCATGATATCACTGACGTATCTCTTGTAAAGAAGAACTTTAGCGATGAGGTCATCAACCAGATTTTTGATCTATATGGAATATAAATGTTTGCTAGTAATGGTCCTAAAGAAACTCCTTGTAGCTAAGTCATCAACTTGTTGAAATCATTCACCTTCAAATATGAAATGAATTTTATCGATATACATCAATAACAATCCTCTTGGAGAGAGATATACTGATGATATCATAGTGAGTTGTGAGAAGCATGTGGATATGATTTGTCTACTAACATCGTACAAACTTATATCAGCCTGACTTGTGAGGAAGAAAATAATAATCATCTATCATTCATAGACGTACTCCTGACTTGATGAGAAGATGATCTAATAAGACGATCGGTTTACAGTTAGCCTACAAGGTTTTTTTCAATCCAATACCGGCGGGGTCTAAAAAAATCCCACTGTAATGGGATCTTTAGTATCAGTGCATCAGATACAATGGATGAAGAAATCAAACCATTGACCAAATTACTTGTCGCAAAAGGATTTCATCATTCGCCTTAATATTATGATGTATTCATAGATGAGTAGCATACAGGAAATCTACACATTTGTTCATAATAATGTTGACCTCCAACAATATATTACTCATAAACTCTAAATACTACTTATCTTAAAATTTTCATTTTATTATGATTTTTCAATGCAATAAAAGGAAGCAGAACGTGCAATTCGAATAATGAATGGTCAAATTATTGGCACTAGAGCGATACGAACTAATTGGGCTGTACGTAAAGACCCAGCTGATCAAGCAAAAGGTTAGTTAACCTTAAATCTGTTTTAATCTCTACAAGAGTATTCTAAAACAGGAGTATTTAAAAGAATAAAAGTATATGCCACTGTTCCATAAAGATTATTGACAATTTCACATACATCATTCTATGCAGTGCAAATCACTAATCATGGTTTTATGTATAAATCAATTTTATATCTTGTAAGATGATAAGGAATAAAGTGGTAAAGTTTGTAAATCCGATCATCAAATGTTACAATTCTCATTGGAAGTTCAGAAGTCATCTTTCGAACCTAGTCAACAATGAACACTACTTCAATTGAATTTGAGAGGTTGTGGGGATTTAGAGATTTTTTTCAAGTTGGTATTTATCATGAACTGATATCAGTTAAAGGAGTCCCATTACTATTATTATTATTATTATTATTTGTCCCCTGGTCTCCGAGCGAAACATAGGGATTCAGTAACACATATCCATCTCACTCTCTCCTCTACAATCTCTCCAACCTGCCTCCAATACACTGCATACTCAGAAATTTTCATTTCTTCCTCATACGAGATCATCCATGTCACACACACACGTCAAACTCATCATTTCCCATTTCACTTCCACTCAACAGACTGACATGGTTTAGCACATTTGTTTGGCGATGGGTTCTCGGTTGGTTCATTGTCAGCCAACCACACTTCCTACTTCCTCATTCTTATTATTCTCCTCATCTCATCTGATCTCCAGTATCGAGTGAGTCAGCGTAGATGACAGCTGTTCATGTGTGATGTTTGTAGAATGTTGGAAATGCTTTTGTTGATGTGCCAACTATCTTGACCATCACATGGAAGCACGACTTACTTGACTGACATCGGTGGTGTTGAAAATCTCGATATTGTTCATGTTTTATGCTGATTGCAATGCAATGCAATGCAATGCAGTGAAGTGTAGTGCAATCCAGTAGATCTCCACACTGATTTCAGATTAATGCAGGACGGTCTGTCTTGCTGTTTTTCCGATCATGGATTTGACATCTTCATCTGTGCGTGTGTGACCGCGTGTATTTGAGACGATGCTGCCTAAGTAGGTGTAGGTTGGAGAGACAAGTTCGTTTAGATTTCTGCGTTTGATGGTGTTTGGTGCTTGTTGTTGTTGTTGTTGGTTGGGTCCCTTCATCACCTCTGTCCTGCTCATGTTCACGTGAAGGAAGTTGTGTGTTCGCTTGCCGTGCCCTGCCCTGCCTGTCGTGCTCTACCTTGTCTTTTCTTTTTTGTCAATTTGTTAGTTTTCGCTTGTACATCTTCGAGTTTGTGTGACATATGACATTGGAGGTGAATCATCGTGAGTGGAATCGAAATCTTTTGAGTTCTTTTAATCGGTGAAACAGCGTATGTCTCATCTTCTCTCTCCTCAGTGTTTGTTGCATGATTCAGTCGACCACATTTAGGAAGATGATCAGTGATGTTACGCGGCTCTATCTTACTCCTGTTTTCTGTTCAGTGTCATCACTGGGTTATTCGTTTCAAATCACTTGATATGTAGCATGTAACATCATATAGCATGTAGCTGTTAATTGATGTTTGTCAGTCTTTGTGGCACTGAAACCTTAAGATTGAAGCTATTCCCAAATTTCTCGGTTGACGCTGTCGAAGGTTTTTTCAAGATCAATAAAGTTGTGGTGAAATTTTGACAGACATTCTATGCTTACATTACATTAATAAACATTCAAGTTATAGAACTATTTATCAAATTAATTAGAATAGTTGATAAAAAGAGAAGAAGAGATAGAAAGAGAGAGAGAGAGACAATACACTACTGTGATTATCTAATCTGTGCGTACAATAAATGCACCCCTAGTTGCATTATCCTAAGTATTCTGTCCAAAATGATTTGTAGGTTTTTCTTTCCTACAATTAGTATCTACATTAATGAAAACAATTTCCTATGAAATATTCATTATGAAAAATAGTTTACATCATATTTGCAGGTATATATTTCACTGAATTATTTAGTTGATTTATGACATAAAATAAGCATACTACTAAACATCTAGATATCAGTTGTGACGAAAGTCCTGATAGAAGTTAAGCACGGAGTCAACTTTATCATTACATATATATAGGTAGATTTCAATATAATCCCAGTGTGTTTAGGAAATTAAAACAAGATCTTTCTAAACGTTTCACTATATATGTCACAGCTACTTTGGCAGGATTTATTTTGTTCTGATTCTAGGTTTTCATTTTTTTATATTTCGTCTGTGCTTTGAAGTTTCTATAGCGGTTAAATTGGTCTTGCTAGCACTATGCTCAACCTTTCCTCTTTACCCGGGCTATGACCAGGTTATAACTAGTGAACTAGTTAACCACTTTAAAAAGCTCTTGAATCGACCACTACCTGCACTTCGTCCAGAAATACCACCTGCAGCCCAGCCACAGAACTACAAGTGAACACAAGCCCTCCAACGAAAGTCGAAGTCCTGAATGCCATAAGGCTACTGAAATGCGGGGAAGCAACAGGACTAGATGGAATCCTGCCATAAGCACTGGGAGTAGACGCAGAGACAACAGCGGACATGCTCACACTACTACTGCAGAAGATCTGGAAGGAAAGAAAGGTACCTGCAGATTGAAGACCTACAGACGAAATCCAACAAGTTGACAGAAGAGGCAGAGAAGACGGGACTTCAACTGAGCGTAGAGAAGACAGAGGTGATAAACATACCCAAACTACACCACGACCACCAACAACAACAACAATCTCCAATCACCATCAACGGGAGAAACTTAATGAAAGTAGTCTCTTTCACCTATCTAGGTAGCATCGTTTCAAATACTGGTGATGGCAAAGACGAGGAAGTCAAAGGTAGGGTCAGAAAAGCAAGACAGGAGTTCATCAACCTGAAACCAGTGTGGAGATCTTCTGCACTCAGCATGAAGCGTGAATAAGATTCGGATTTCCAACGTGAATGTCAGTCAAGTCAGTGCTTCTATGTGATGGTTCAGAAACTTGGCGTGTCATGAATAGCATTTCCAAAAAACTCCAGACACTCATCAACAACTGCCTACACTCGATACTGAAAATGAGATCAGATGACTAAAAAGAATAAGCAATGAGGAACTGTGGCTGGCCGGTAACAAACCAACGAAGCAAGAATCTATCTATCACTCAACAAATGTGTACTGGGAGGAAGTGGAGACTGTTTGGGCATACACTGAGAAGACAATTTAGGGACATCACGCGCCAGGTCAGGCACTTGAGTGAAACCCATAAGGGGAACGGAGAGTTGGGCATCCGAAGCGAGCGTGACATGGAAGAGATGGTGTGAGGAATAAATGAGAGCTTGTGGGTAGTCGTGAAGCCAGGTTGAAAAGATTACAGAGAACAAGGTGGACTGGAGATGTGCTAGTGAAGCCCTAGGTAACTTGGAGGAATATAAGAAACCCGGAAACACTGGACAGCTATTGCGTCTTAGTATGGGACTTCTCAGCAGTCCACACCCACCATCTCGCCAGGAATCGAATCTGTGACCTTCAGGTTCCATGCCAGGACGTTATAATTGAACCACTAGGTTGGAATCCAATAATCAATATTTTCTACTTCTGTCAGTTCACGATATATAACGTGACCTACATCCAATGTCGTCGTTTAGTAACTGTCCTTATTATATTCGCTCTGAAAACTGCGTGCATGGGACAATGAAAAACTCTTAATCTCTTTCAAGTCACTTGATATTGTTATTACGCAAACAATTTAGAAAAAAATACCTAATTTAAAATTGAATGTAAAAAAATTTTATCATTTCATTCTGAAATAAAAACAATGAAATTATCACTGGTTTGACTATAGGTAATCTGAACTACCGAATCGCTTTGTTTGGAATAGATTTGACTAGTTGGATACAAAGAGCGAATGAACAAAAATTTCACTGAATGAGATAATGACAATTCGACGAAATTTACTAAAATGATACACTTTGTAGAATACTAGAAGGAACAAAAAAGTTTTATCTACTAGCACTTTGTGGGCTCTCATTAAAGATGTACATATGTTATTTAGTTAGAAGTTGACAGAAAAAGTTCATAGTTGGTGAGAATACCATCAGAAAAAAGAAGAATATTGTATTTAAACTCAGTGGCTGAATTCGATCTCTGGTCACAGAATCATCGATGCACGCTACTAAGGTATTTCACTCTAGGATTAAACATATATCATGTGATAACAGGTTTATAGTGTTCCTACAGCTAATATCAGTCTGTGATGAACACAAGCTTGAAGTCAATAAATTCCTACAATCCTCCAGACTGATACCAAGTGTTGTTGTAGACAATAAATTTTTTAAAATAAGATAATTAGTTATCGAAATGTTATACGCAAACATTGGAATCTCAAAGTACAAGTTAAATACACAATAATTTCACTACAGAGTAACCAACTTCATGTTGTCTAGTCCTAGGTGCTAATCGAATTCTATCTAAGTGGATCGCGATGTTCAATCAAATCGCCTGGTGATAACATTGCAGAATGATCGATAGAATATCTATTAGCGCTCAGGATAACACAACATAAAGCTGTTTACTCTCCAGTGACTAGTCAGTATGCCTAATCCAGCCTACAGGAGGGTATTCGCTGCCTAAATATCTCATTGGTAACGTCTCTGACTGTAGCACTGAGCAACATGTATTCGAATCTCAGATGAGACGTCAGTTTTGTAGAAGCTATAGATAAGCCTTGTTGACGAATGCCAAAAAGCACAAAATCTAGGTCCAGAACTTCCTGCTATAATAATAGTTTGTTCCACAAATTTAGTCTTGTCGAAAAAATAGACCTATGATACATCTGACTCACTGGTGCACTGACGAGAGTTGTTTTCATGTAAGAACCAGATGTGAATTTCCTCCAAATCAGTGAATTATTCACATATAGATGTATACATATATGAGGTAGGATTCATGACAGACTGCTATCATTTCGAGAACCACTAAAAACCTGAAAGCACACAACTTCTGTCTTGTTCTAGAATGGGACACACCCAC